GGGCTGCTAGGACAACAAATATAGAGGCTGATAGTTTAGCTAAATATGGTATTGGCTAAGTTAGGGAGTTTCAGCTTGGGTGGTTCTTTCTTATTGTTTTTCGGGCTTTCAGTTGTAAGGGGGGTTGTTCTTGGATGTAGTCTACTCTTTGTAATACTTTTTAATTAATAATATTTGAGGCACTCTTTTCCTCCTTCCGCTAATTAAGGAATTCCAGTAGGCGTTCCTTTAATCATGAAGAGGGTTTTTAACGAGGCCTCATCTTCTTATAAAAAAAAGGATGTTGTCTTTCACAATCAGAAGATCGACTGCTAGATTATTCAAACTAGACGGTGCAGAAGGGAACTTAGCCCGAACCCAACAAGCAACTCGATATTTAACAAGGAAAACCACATGGAATTTATCTAAAATCTTCCCATTGAAGATAACTTCATTCCTCATAAGCTAAATGGACCATATTATTGAAAACTGTAGAATGCTCCAGATTAATTTATGTTTCGATCTGTCAGGGAGAGATTCATATCAGGCCCGTAAAACGTTGATTGGCTTCAAAGGAAAAGCTAAGTCGATACCCCACAAAGACAAAAATTGACCCCAAACTTTCCAAGTTGCCACGCACGAAAAAAAGAGATGCTCCACCGATTCCGGGAGAGCAGAGAGGACAACACGAAACCGAAACCTCAACACCTCTCTTCGCAAGTTCTACTCTCACTGGAACTCGACGCCTTAAAACCCTCCACAGGAAAGCTTCGACTTTAAAAGGTGCAATGCCCAACCAAACTCCCTTATTCCAATTGAAACCCAACCTGTCCAATTCACAAGATAGAGTCGACGCTAACTTAACCGAGAAAGCTCCGTCGCTCGCACCCAACCATTTAACCCAATCCGACCGCGTGGCCGAACTAACAAAGATTTTGAGGGCACGCATCAAGTTCTGCCATTGTCGTCTTCCCCAATCAAAAACGCTCCTCCTTAGTGGGATATTCCAAATCTAGCTCGACTCATTTTTCACCTCGAAATCGAAGATCGGACCCACTTTGATGGTTGCCAACGCAAATATCCTCGGAAATAGTTCTTGGAGAGGGCGGTCCTCAAGCCATTTGTCTTGCCAAAATCTAATGCTTTTACCATCGCCGACTTGGAGCTGAAATAAATCTTTTAAATAGAAACCATATCCCGTTCCTGCAAACGTTGAGATTACACCGCGCCAAACCCGTGAAGCCCCTCGGGGAACTAAGGTAGGAGGTAACATGGCATTTCTATCAATCATGTATTTCCCAATAGTAACAAGTTTCCAAGGACTCGTTTTTTTCGTTACAGTAGCGCCAACTCCATTTCCCCAAAAGGCCGTAACTCTTCTTTTTTAAGTCGATGAAACCTAGACCACCTGCCTCCATCGGCTTTGCAAACCTCGGTCCAACTTACCCAGTGAATGGTACTCTTATCCTGAGAACTTCCCCACAAAAATCTCGAGAACAAGCCATTCAATTTCTTATAAACCTATACAGATATTTTAAAGAAAGACAAATAATAGGTAGGAAGATTAGAGAGAACTGACTTTATTAGCGCCACCCACCCTCCGAAAGATAAAGATAAGGATTTCCTGCGTGCCAGTCTTCGATACCTTCTCAATCATCGATTCCCAAAGCCGAGCTGAATTTCGAACTACCCCAAGAGGAAGTCCCAAATAAGAGGAAGGAAAAAAAAAACCCGCTGCACACCCTATGGAATTAGCCCAATACAACAAACATTCCTTCAAATTCAATTCAAGGCCCGAAGCTAATTCAAACACCCTTAGAACTCGCTTCGCATTTTTAATTTGAGTCTTCGAGGCCTGGAGAAACAAAATTAGGTCGTCAGCGTACTGGAGATGTGTCACCTGTACTTCCGATGAATCTTTCCCGATCACACAACCCGACAACAGACCTACATTGGTTGCTTTCACCAACTTCAAACTCAAAACTTCCCCTACAAGGTTGAACAACAAGGGCGAAAGGGGGCACCCTTGCCTTAGGCCGCGACCTAAGCTAAAACTCTCAGTAGGGAAACCGTTCACCAATATGGAAATAGATGCCGAGGAGATACACGACCAAATCCACTTCTGCCACTTCTCTCCAAAGCCCATTTCCTTCAGTACTCTTATGAGAAAGCTCCAATCGACCGTATCGTAAGCCTTCCTGAAGTCGGTCTTAAAAACCAAACCCTGTCGACCAGATTTCCTTTCAAAGTCGATAACCTCATTTGCTATCAGTGCGCAATCTAGTATTTGCCTTCCCGGGATAAAGGCGAATTTAGCATAGGTTACTAGAGAACCCAAAACTGAGTGGAGACGGCTAGCTAGCATTTTGCTTACCAACTTATAGACCCCACCGACTAAATTGATTGACCTAAATTCCTCTAACGACTGTAGGTTTAACTTATTCGAAATCAAGGAGATGAACGAATAGTTCAAGCGTAGATCCAACTCCCCATTCGAGTAGAACTTGTCAAAAAAATTCATAACTCCTTTTAATTCAGGCCAAAATTTCTTTAAAAAATTAAAATTAAATCCGTTTGGTCTTGGAGCGCAGTTGCCATCTGTGTTCTCGAGAGCCTAAACGACTTCTTCCTCGGAAAATCTGTTCTCCAACCACCTGCTTTGATGCGAGTCTAATCTTGGAAAAGGAAGGGTCATTTCATCAAATTCTAAGGCTATCTTCTTATTAAATGCCTTTCTAAAATGGCCTTGGATCAAACTCTTCAGTTGGACCGGCTCATCAATCCTCACACCATTCTCAAACAGTGACAAAATCGAGTTGGTCCATCTTCTCTCAAAGGAAAAATTATGGAAAAAACGAGTATTCTCATCCCCCTCCGATACCCATCTAACTCTCGCCTTCTGCAGCCACGACCTTTCTTCCTTCCTATAAGTTTCCCAAAGCCTACACTTGAGACTTCTTAGCTCTGCAATTATGTTTTGGTTCTCCCTATCAGCCAATAAATCCGATTCTGTCTTATTGATCTTTGCTTCAAGGTCCCCAATCTCCCTCTTAAAATCAAAGGATTGTTCCTTCGACCAACCAATCGCAGCTCTTTTGGCAATATGTAGAAGAGTCCTAATTTCCTTATCACCGCGAACAGATTCAGCGTCCTTCATAGCAGCTTTTACAGAGGAGACAAAGCTACTCTCATCCGACCAAAAATTGAAGCAACGGAAAGGCTTACATCTCCAATTTACCGTATCCTCTTCAAGTATTACTGCATTATGGTCGGAAAGAGATTTCGCCAACAATTTCTGTATTGCCGCAGGAAACAGCATCAGAAAGTCATTAGAAAAAACGGTCGAGCCTTACAACTGTCGTATTATCCCTGTTATTCAACCAGGTAAACGATCCACCTGCCAACGGTAGGTCCACTAAACTAGACTGATGTAGGAAATTCCTAAAGTAACCGATGACCCTGTAATTGATGGACACTCCAATTTTCTCCTCCGAGTGAATGAACGCATTGAAGTCTCCCCCACACACCACAGAATTGAGTGATTGGCAATTGAAATTAACAACTCACTGAAGAACTCTTTCTCCCCATCAGCTGACGGACCGTAAACATTTAGAGACCCGTATGTCGAGTTCTTGCTAGGAATGAAACCGACTAAGGCAATGAACCTTCTGCTCACCATCCTCGAGGATACTACAAAAAAATTAGGGTCCCAAAGGCACATAAGACCACCAGCTGACCCATCTGCCGGGTTAAAAACCCAATCCAGATTTCCTGAACCCCATAACCTTTTACACATTGACACGTTTACTTCAGCCGATTTCGTTTCCTGAAAGAAAAACATTTTTTCCTTTGACTTTGAAATTAAGGTTTTCGCTGCTCTTAACTTCTCCCTCCTTCCAAAGCCTCTGACATTCCAAGTGATTAAAGATAGATTCATTGGAGACCGAGAATAAAATCTGAAAAATCTCCTCTGCTTGCCATCATGCAGACCTCCTAACTTCGCCTTCCAGATGATGGTCCAGTTTTTTAAGAAGATGATTCAGTTTTGTAAGATAGAAATTCATGTTTATGCATATATATATATCTTCATAACAGTGTTTATAAATTTTATCTAATATAATATTTTTAAAGAAATTTGGAGTTCCATTTAGTTTACAAAATTTTAAGTATATCCAAAATTTTCATCCTTCTATTGCAAAGAACTATTTCTAATGGAATTCACCCCTTTCTGGAATCAAAAGAGAGGCACAACTATGCAAGAGTATTTTTTGTCTCTCTCAAACTTTGCAAGAATGAGGGTGGAAGAAAGCAAGCTACTTTTGGTGGCTCTTCTTGGGCATGCATATAGGACTTGGTGTTTTGGGGTACTATTAATAAGGGCAACCTAGAATGATGGAATGCAGAACATGGGATTCTCCTTAGGGCCCTGCCTCAAGAATTTCTGCCAGCTTCTTTAAGGATGCTGAGACATTGTCCGACTTCAGCCCGAGAAAAATGTGGTAAAAGGGGCAGCTTTCCTATCTCCTACTATTGGTGCATAATGTGTCTATTGCTGTCAGTTTCTCCTGCTAGATGTGTTCAATGTAGTGGAGGGAGAAATTTTATACACTCTAGGATTAATAACGCTTCTTTTCTAAGATGTTTCGCTAAGTTTGATGGGGTATTTTGTCATATGGTTCTAAATTTCTGAACGGATCCCAGTAACATCTACTTCTCTTACTTCATTTTCTTCCTATTTGCGTATCTAATAATTGGGAATAGGATCATTGAATTGTTACTTTGCTTGACTTGCATGCCTTTCCGGACAAGTATTTCTTGGTTGTTCCAAATAAAGATACATTGTGATTTGTTGTACTTTTTTTTAAAAAAAAAAGTTGTTTATTTCTCCTGAGGATACATCAATGAGCATATTACTTATGTTTGTTTTCCATGTTAGAATTTCTACCCTGGTATTGCCAAAACGGAAAGCTAGTTTACAGTATTATGATATGGTTTGATTTCCTTCTTCTTTTTTTGCTTAGGCTCCTGTTGTTCCTGCTGGTGAATCCCTCCCTGAGAGACCGGGAGAGCCAGATTGTCCTGTAAGCTGTGATTTGTATATTTTATGCTTTTACTTTATTTAAATAAGTTGAACTTGAGTTCGTAAAATATTCCATTCTATTGTCTGTTTGATTTTGCAGTATTTTATGAAAACGCAAAGATGCAAGTTTGGTTCGAAGTGCAAGTTCAATCATCCAAAAGATAAAATGGATCCTTCTGTATGTTCCATTCATCCAAGTCTCCCTAACTTTGCTGTTATTTTCATTTCTGACTCTATGACAACGTCTGATTCTTTTCTCAGGGTGATTTCGAGAATGTACATGCATCTGGTTTGCCAGAAAGGCCATCTGAGCCCCCATGTGCTGTAAGATATTTACCTCCTATGGTTGATTTCTTCTTGTATGAGGAGGACCAATTATGATTTTAATTCGTTATCTTTGATTTTATAACTTTTGCAGTTCTACATGAAGACTGGAAATTGTAAATTTGGTGCAACTTGCAAATTCAACCACCCAAAAGATATCCAAATACAGTTACCCATACAAAACAATGCCAACTGCGAGCAGAATGATACATTCTCAAATATTGGGGGAATAACTGGAGATATTAAGCCGGCACTGTATTATAATTCCAAAGGACTTCCAATTAGACCGGTAATGTGTCTGTGCGTGCATTTGTTTTTCCTTTTTAATAAATAGTTGGTGCATCAGTGATGTAGAATACATAGGGAAATAGATGAAATATTGAATAAACATATCAGAAATAGATTGAAATCAGGCTGAAACAGAACACGGAGAAAGCAGAACTTGGTCAACGGGGGAAAATCAAGATAACTCAAATACTCATCATCTGGAACCTGATTGAATAAATCTAAAATAACATAGGTATTTTAAATAAACAAAAACCAGAATAATATGCAAAAGAGTGAAATGCCAAGTATAGCTCTAATTGGAAATAACGTTAAAATAATTTAAGCTTTAAATGATGTACGTCATTCCCTTCTGAGTAAAAGAACTTTATTGTAGAGAGGGTGTTAGATATAGAAACTCCATAAAGAGAAAAATAAATGGCCTATCCAATGAATAATATAATACCTATAGATCTCGAGACACGAAGCAGTATGCACATCAAGAATTCCTGCCACTTTGAAAAAGTGTGAACACTAGCAGATAAAAAAATTGGTCAGTAGTTGAGAAGCATCCTTAGAAGTTACCCTACTTTTGACATGAAAACAATGACTTGCGTTCAAGTTATAAGAGAAGGCACTATATAGGCATGGAGTTTAAGTAATGAGAGGAAGAAATGTGGGTAAATAGGCTGACACTCAATTTAATGAAATAATCATGAATGACACAATAAGTGTCGTAAAATGTTTTAGTATTATCATTCATCTTAGTAAGGCTGAATCAATACGATTTTTCATATTTTTTTAATCTAATCCCAGCATGGAGATAAAGGTTTATGAAGCTCATGGATAATGTATCTTCTTTTTGACAGGATGAAGTAGATTGCCCATTCTACTTGAAAACTGGCAGGTATGTGTTAGCTTTCAGTCAAATTGTTTTATAATGAAATAGAGATGGTTTATTATGCAAACTTCTAAATTTTCTAACTTTTCAATTTTAGTTGCAAGTATGGGCCGACTTGCCGCTACAATCATCCTGATAGGAATGGTATGTTAAATTCAATGTTTGTGGTTCTGAAGATATAATTATTCAAGTTTTTTAAATGTTGCATTCAGTATTTGAACCTCACAGTTCACTTTTGAGCTTTTGTGCAGCATTCATTCCTCCTGTGGCATTAGGTCATTCGCTTGTAGCATCAGCAAGTAATCTGAACGTTGGAGTTAATCCAGCTGCTTCTGTATATCAAACTATTGGCCTCCGATTAAGCCAGACAGCTATACTTGCACAGCAAACATTGCCAACGGTAATGATAGATTTTATGTTGCTGCATGCAAAATTTTATGTTTCATGATAGCTCTCCACTCTCTCCCTCCTATCCCTTTCATATATCAAACTGCATGACTAGTGGCAAAGAGGTTGGGCTTGAGCTATTATGACAAGTTTTAAACGGATATGGCTGTAAATGCCCATTTTATTTCTAGTTGCATGTACAACCATCACTGCCAGTTTTTATGGGAGAGGCCCAACCTGCCCAAGAAACTTTTTCCTTATAAAATTATGTTCAATAAGAAAATAATTCTGACAATTTTGTTTATTTTATCTTCAAAAATTTATTTTTCATTTAAAACAATATAAAGGAATTATTATTTTGTTTTTTCATTTTTTTTGCTTCTCTTTCAAACCTCCAAACCCATGACTTGCTCTCTGAGTCCAAATTCAGCCTTACAAATTGCAATTTGGCTTGCTCTGACTAGATCCATGGCTAGCTAGATTGGCATTTGTGTAATTCAAATATGGTTGGCTGGTTCCATGTTCTGAGGCTATGCAATTTAGATAAGTTTGGGTGGCTAGAAAAATGTTGAAGCATTTTATGCAAAATTAAGCATAATTATTCAATTTTAATTATCGAGTATGATATTATTAGTCTTTTTTCGATTTGGGTGAGGGGGTGACTTGAAGCCAGCTCTTTCAGCACAGGATACTTGATTTTCCATTTGGTCGAATGATCAGGTTAATTTTTGTCGAGTGAAGACCTTTGTTAATTTTAACAGATTTTATTTTTCCAAAGATTTCAAATAAGAAAAAGAAGAAATATAAACTAGTGGATATATTATTAATCAACATTTTTGGTAATATTTTCTCAACGGTCAGGTCATTCTCCCACTACATTGTCACTTGTTCGCAAGCGTTACTATTTCCTATGGCATAATGAGGCCAGTGCTAATTTCAATCTTATTGAGATACCACCTGATTTCTGAATCTCATTGCAATACCATTTGGAGCTAGGTCACTGTCTCTTCCAAGGGGTATTACTTGTATTGTCACTCATATGCCACATTCTTTTGTTCAAATTCATATCACCCAAGTTTCTTTCCGTCTTCTGTGGTTTTGAGTTCCTGTAGCTACCTTGATTGCATTAGACTGCCTTTATATACCAGTTTGCAAAATTTAGAGTAATCTTTACTCTTTAGCTTCAACCTTTCCTCCTACGTTTGCCAAAATTTCTGTACAATAATGCAAAAACTTTTCTTCTGTGGAGGTATTTTGCTTGATGTTTCTGAGTTTTTTCCCCCCAAGTGCTGATGCATGCTATTTACTTGCATATTGCAGCTGGCAGGATCTCCGACTGTGAATCCCCAGAGACCTGGACAAACTGAATGTGATGTGCGCATCAATCCATTATGTGTTCCGAGATTTGATAAATGTTTGTTTTTTAGTTGTTATTTTGAATTCCTTGTCATCCAATATTTTTATGACTACCATGATGGTACTCATATGGTTGATCTTGGATTAGAGCTGCACAATCTTTTGTGCTATAGTTTTCATATCAAGCATTCAAGTTACTTGGACATACTTTTGGCTCACTTTTTAACGACAAGCATTGCAGGAATCCCTATGCTTATTGATGACCTCCCCCCGTTTTATTTCTTTACGTTGCAGTATTATATGAAAACCGGCGAATGTAAATTTGGGGAGAGATGCAAATTTCATCACCCTGTTGATCGATTTGCAACCAATGAAGCTTCTCAGCAGGCTATTAAGCTCACACTTGCAGGATTACCTAGAAGAGAGGTTTGTTTTATTTTATTTACTAATGCCTTTACCACTATATATATATATTGCCTATAGGATTAATATCTGTCTAGGATGTCTTCTACAAGCATAAAGTTGTAGTTTTAGATGATTTTAGTTTTAGATGCTATTGAAATAATTGTGGGATACATTGACAGGGATCCATTCATTGTCCATACTACATGAAGACGGGGGCATGCAAGTACGGTGCAACGTGCAAATTTGATCACCCACCCCCTGGGGAGGTCATGAGTGCATTACAAGGAACATTCACAACAATGTCTGGACGAGAAACATGACATGACAACACAGGTAGGAGAAGCTGGTTTTTAGATGGTTTTATGGGGATTTCTGTATTAAGAGCATGATACTTTACGGAAACCGAGCTTCAGATGGGCAATATGAATGCAGCTAGGGTGCACTATGGCTTGCTTGTAGTTGTATTGCAGTTGGGGAATTTTATCTGTTCCGAGTTGTAATTCAAGTGTTGGATTGAAAGACTGGTTTTAAACCATTTGTTCAATGCCTTTAGAATGTCGATACAAAATTTGAGAATAATAAGTTGGAATGAAAAGATCGCACAATGGCTCACCCCTTGAGAAAACAACAAAGTGGGTGCAAATGAAAGTAAATTAAGCGGCCGTTCTGTTTGAATAAATTATAAGACCTGCCATTGTTGCTGTCTGGCAATATCTAGAGCAAAGATTTTAACAAACAAATAGTGATCCTCCGAAAAAAAATTAAATTTTGAATTAACTGAAAATATTTTTATGAATGATTTAAATTCATATTTTTTTGTATCACCGACACAAAATCTCGTGATATGTCTCTTTTCATTTGACAACAAACTAATGTGGCGGTGGATATTCCACGGTAGGCACTATAGGGCCATGGAGGAGACCAAATTTGGACCATTATTTTACAGACACGGACAGACACATGGGGCATCGGAGCGGCGGCCCAAGTACATAATTTTTTAGCGGCAAGACATTCAAATACATGGAGTAATCAAAAAGCGTATTACGAATGAAAATGATTAAACTATCTAGTTTTCCATTACTTCATCTACAAGCAAATCTATGGAAAGTGTTGGAACCATGTTGGAACCATTGAAGTGGGCGCATTTGAGGTTCATCTGGTTTGAATTTGGGCACCCCACGTACTCAAACAAATCTGCTTCCTAATTTGGGGTGATAACAGCAGCCGACAAAGTCCATGTTAGGGCGTAACTTACAGTTGCAGTTTCGGGTGCAAAACCATGTGCCATAAAAATGCACAAGAACCAATCACCAAATGACACGGGGCTAGACCGTTGGCTAGCTGATCTGTGTGGCCTTTAGTCGCTTTGCTCGGTTGTTGGGCTCTTAGGCAGCCTTGAAATCTAAGTTTGGTTGTTTAACTTGTTGCGAAAGTAAGAACAAAAAGAGTATGAATGGAAATAAGAGATGCACGAGAGTATTTGGCTTGAAAGTCGAGTTAGTCTTATTTCCAAGAGAAAGAATAAATGAATACAATGAGGGTGGGGAGGCCCCCTTTTTATAATGAGAATCCCTTAGGAGTTAATGACTAAGTCTACTTCTACTCTAACTAAAAGTGCATCCCTAATTTAGTCAAAAGTCTAAAGGTTGAATCCTACTTAAACAATCATGGTGGTTTTGTCCCTTTTCTTAGAGAGGGTCGGTCTTGGCTTGGAGAGGGCCCGAGTCAGGGTGTGCTCAGCCTTACCTGATTCTGATGCTAACTTGGCGCATCAGACAAAATTGGTGTGCCGCATGATGCGTCTGGGACTGAAAATGTTTTGGTACACGCGGGTGTGCGCTGGTGGATGTTGGACTCGCCATCATGGTCGCGGTTCGTGACATTCTCCCCACTAGTTATAGCAACGCCCTCGTCGCTTGGCTTGAATGAAATTGCTTGATTTTGTCCTTGAATTGCCATAGGGCTTCGGAAGATTCCCAACTTCCCTTACTGTCGGGAAGCCCCTTCCATTGGACAAGGTATTTTTGCCTTGGTTTGTGCCCCACTCGGTGATTGGCTCTTTCAGCGTGGATGGCTTCAACTTCCCTTTCGTAAGAGGCTTTTATTCCAACTGGAGCTCGATGGGAAATGCTTCGATCGGGATCATCTTTATCTGGGTGAAAAGGCTTGAGTAGGCTCATGTGTAACACAGGGTGAACCCTGATAGTTTATGGCAAGTCTAACTTGTAAGCCATGGTGCATATTTGTTTCTTCATTTTGAATGGTCCTTCGTATCTTCGTACCAACCCTTTATGTCTGTCTTGGTTGCGTAAGATGTATGTGAGTTTGGCAAGGACCAGGTCTCATTCTTGGAAATTTACGTCCCTTTGATTTTTTTCTTTCTGCCCACTTCATAGTATGTTTCTTGCTTTATGTAGGCAGGCTCGGGCTAACTCATGGTTGTCTTGCCATTCTTTGGAAGATTGATACGCTGATGGATTGGGTCCTTGGTACCCGGTTATAATCGTGTTGGGTGTAAGAGGTTGTTGCTCGTTTAAAATCTCGAATGGCTTTGGTTGGTGGCTTCGCTCTTTTGCAAGTTGTATGAAAATTGTGCTACGTCTAGAAGCTTTGACCAGTTGCATTGTGTAGCACTTACGTAGTGCCTAAGATAAATTTCTAAGAGGGCATTGACTCTTTCGGTTTGCCCATTGATTTGTGGGTGGACTGTAGTTGAAAAGTTCAGGCTTGTCCCCATCAATTTGAATAGCTCGGTCCAAAACCTGCCCGTGAATCGGGTGTCTCGGTCGCTGATGATTGTCTTTGGAACGCCCTAATATTTTACTACATGTTTGAGGAACATGCGGGTTGCTTCCTTGGCTGGGCATACTTTATATGTGGGAATGAATTCTCATACTTGGAGAACCTATCAACTACCACTATGATGATTGATAGTCCATCCGAGTGTGGGAGTCCTACGATAAAGTCCATTGAGATGCTTTCCTATGGTCGTTTGGGAATGGTCAAAGGTTGTAGCAACCCTACTGGTTTTTTCATTTATATATTATCTTGTTAGTACACAAGGAAGGTTTTCATGTAGGCCTCTATGTCTTCGTTCATGTGCGGCCAGTAGTAATGTTCGTGTAACAAGACAATTGTTCGATGGATCCTGGGATGTCCTACCCACTTGGAATCGTGGCATTCCATAAGAGTTCCTTGCGTAGCTTTCCATACTTTAGCACATAGATGCGGTGCCCATGGGTATATAATATATCTCTCTTGAGCCAAAATCTTATGGATTTGCCTTCTTTGGCGTATTCGATCAGCGATTTGGCTTCTGGATCATGCGATAGCCCTTCCTTTATACATTATAGAATTTGTCCCTTCAGTGAGCTAATGACTTCGATGTTGTACCTTTGGCTTAAGGCATCGGCGACACAATTTACTCTTCCTGACTTGTGTTCCATTGAGAAATTAAATTCGGTAAGGAATTCTTGCCAACGAGCTTGTTTAGGGAATAACTTCTTTTGGGTCAGGAAGTAGTTGTTTGCGATGTTGTCTGTGAACACTATGAATTTTGAGCCAAGTACATAATGTCTCCATAGGTGTAAGCAGTGTATTACGACAATCATTTTTTTTCATGGGCTGAGTATCTTTTTTCAATCTCATTGAGTTTTCGAATTTCATAGGCAATTGGATGTCCATCTTGCATAAGGACTCCCTCGATGACCACATCGGATGCGTCTGTGTGAATCTCGAAAGGTTTGTTGTAGTTTGGTAGGCACAACACCGGCTTGCTCATTAGAATGAGTTTGATATTGTCAAAGGCTTCTTGGCTTTTTTGTTCCCAAACCCATGTCTTGTCTTTCTTAAGCAGTTCGGTTAAAGGTGTGAAGATCCTGGAGTAGTCTTTGACAAATTTTCGATAGTAATTGGCCTATCCATTTGAATCATACCATCTCCTATGACGTGGCCTAGGATGTTACAAACTTCTTGAAATTGTTCAGGGGTTATACTCTACGTGGCATTTCCTTTTCTTACTGGTTGTTTATTCTAGGTATGGTGATGCAACCTTTGTTGATGAAAGACATCAGCATAGATATGAGGTAATCTACTATTTATGGGTTTATTAGATGCTATTTGTTGGTGACGGTTTATTTCAAGTTATTAAGAATGATGTTTGTCCTTTGTAGGTCAATCCTGATATGACATCAAAACTTGAAGCAGCTGGTCTCTTGTTTGTTGGTAGGGATGAAACTGGTTGGAAGATGGAGGTAAGTTACAATGTAGCATATATCTCTGAAAACCCAGACTCCACTCAACTGTTTCACTGATCATTACTTCTCTATTTAGTTCATGATGGTTATGGGCATTGTATGTTGGTTGTACAGATTGTAAAACTACCAAGCCATCCATATTTTATTGGTGTTCAGTTCCATCCTGAATTCAAGTCCAAACCAGGAAAAACCTTCTGCTCTTTTCTCAGGTGCTTATCCATAAAATATGGCATTAAGGGTTTATATGTGGTCGCGACATAATTGCTTAGTATTTAGACTGTAAAACACTAATTTTTTTCCATTTTATTTTTAAAAATTATTATTATTATTATTAAATATTAGTATTATTATTATTATAAAAATTATTATTATTATTAATATTATATATTATATATTATTATTAAAAAAAATAAATAATTACAAATTACAATGGACCCAGAGGCTCGTTTACATGCCCAGGCCCAATCAGAACTGGCCTAATAGTAACCTTAAACTCCCAGGGTTTCCATCATCTCATCCCAGCCGCCAGCCAATATCAGTCGTTGGATCTGGAGTGATCCAACGGTCCAGACGAGTCCAGCATGAAGCCCTTGGGTTTCATAACCCTATGTTATCATCCAGCCGTCGCTGTTTTTAGAACATCCACGCGGCCGCCGCTCGTCGCTGCCATGATGTCACGCCTCGCCGAAGACTCTAGAATCACCAGCTGCCCTTCCACGTTGAAGTCCTATGGTGAGTCACCACCATAGCTACAGTGACTCATCGAACTTCCACCCTTGTGACCGGTCTGAGAGCCACAACGACGAGGCTTATAAATGCCATCGGCAACCTGCAATGAAAAAAAAACGACAACAACCAACATAGAGGAGAAACAGAACAACCATCAACAGCAAGCAACAGAGAAAGAGATACGAACAACAACCAAAACCAGCAACCAACAAAGGAAAAAAGAAAATGAGACTTACTGAGGAAACTGCAGTCATCAGAGCCTCCACTCGGCGCTGGAAAATTGAAACATCGAAGGTAAATAACCTTAGATCTACGTCGATCTAAGGGGATTTATGAAAAAAGGAGGTCGGATTCGGCCTTTAGGTGTTAGGATCTTTATTTTAGGGTAATTTGGGATTTTCGGCCACCGGCGGTGGTTGTTGGTTCCGAAACACGGCGGCCGACGACGATAAGCTCTTCCTCCGGCGAGGGAAAACCAGAGAAAACGAGAAGCAAAATAGAGAATGAGAGAAAAATGGCCTTTAGGCCGGTTTAAAAGGGTTTAAATACCCTCCCCATACGACGCCGTTTAGGAGGAGGGGTGTCTCTGTAATTTCCCTTTTGGGAAAATCATATCCGCAACCATTCATAGTTTCGTAACCTTCCATTTTGGTCACTCGTATCATACATTTAATTATTTAAATTTTGTTCTCGCATTTTATTTTATTATATTTTAGTCCCTAATATATATATATATATGTATATATATGTAGGGTAAATACTTATTTAGTCCCTTATAATTTTATTAATTTTATTTTAATCTCGTATTAATATTTATGGATAAATTACACTGTTAATGTCTAAATTTATAATACTTCGAATTAGAACTTTTAATTTTAATATGTTATATTTTAATCATTGATATTTTAAATTTTTTTACTATTAATTTTTATATTTTGCAATTTAATCTTATAGTTTTAATATTATTTATTTTAGTCACTATTTAATTGCAATTTATTTTTATTATTATTTTTTCAATATGTTTAATTTAATATTTTAAATATTATTTATTCATACATATATATATATATATATATATATTTGATTAAATAAAAATGTTTATTTATTTTAAAATATTATGAAAATGGTTGTCTTAACGTAACTAGAAGTTATATTTCAATATTTTTAAATAAATAAATATCTTAGTATACATATATAATTATTTTAGTTCTATTCAAATTATTATATTTTATTATTATTTAATTTTAGTCATATTAATATATGTATATTAATAAGTATTGTTTACTTAATTTCATCAATTAACTGAATAATAATATTTATTTATTTTTAAATAATTAGAAAGGACAATCTTAAAATAACTAGATGTCCTATTCTTGTATTTTAAAAATAAATAAATATCCTTTTTATAAAAATATATATATATTTACTTCATTATTTTTATGAAAATTATTATATTCTTATTAATATTTATTTATTTATTAATATTAAAGAAAAAACAGTCTTAAAACAACTAGATGTCATTTTCTAATATTTTTAAATAAATAAATACTTTATTTATAATTTATAAAAATTATTTTAATATTTTTCTTCCTTATTATCCAATTGAATATAAAAAGATCATAAATTAAATTTATATTTTGAATTCTTAAATTCTATTATTAGAGACAATTTATAATCAACAGAGACCAATTTTGGGCGTTGTGGGGAGCTAATCCTTCTCCAAACGTAATCGACTATGAATCCCTTTTTATTATTAAAAAGAATGAATTTTTGAATAAACGCAGATCAGTTTATCTTTTAACTGATGTTTTTTTAAAAACTCTTTTAAAAGATGATTTTTTAGGTATTCGACCTACCTAACCCAAAAGGGCAATGGCGACTCCCAAAACATTTCAATAAAAAACCATTTATCCACATTATTTTTCCCGCCAAATAAAAATTCGTGTCCGGGCGAAAACCGGTTACGACATAGACTATTTTATCTCTATTGGTTTTGTAAATGTCCAGTACTCATCGCGGAATCATGTGGGCAACTGGATTTGTTTTTAAACAAGTCTGATCATGTAAGCAACGGAGTGGCAAACGGGGTAAATACTGGAAAAGCAACTCCAAAGGTCTGGCAAAACCGGAACCGTTTCAAGTCTGCCAACGGATCATTAAATGGCATGTACAGCAATGGTAATGGTGTGCACCATTAAGAACTCGGTTGAAGTTTCTCCAAGAGTGAACTGGGATCTGTGTGTACGGTGGTGGAGTATGAGTAGGGTTTCTTAGCAATTGAGACTTGAGAGACGGACAATACTTTTCCAGGAAGGCTTTTTGGTGTTTAATGATTAGATTTATCATTATATGAAGAAATGGCAGCAGCAGGTTAAGAGAATATGGAGCAAGTGGTGTCCAAAAAGTTGAACTTAATATACATCCTGTGTGCTATGACATTGGCTAATTTATCTAGATTGCAAGAAGAGAATGCTCTATCAGCAATTGAAGACCTAGCCATTCCTCTGCAACTATACAAAAGCCATTATCTTTTCAGTAAAAGAAACTGGTGATGCATATTAGATTTAAGAAATTTAAATCTCTCTTTATTATTATTATTATTATTATTATTATCCTGGATTTTGTTTCGGATGTTTTTTGCTTCGAGATTTGAGCAATGCCACCCTATTCAGGGACTAGCTGATGTGTACTCCTGAATCTGTTACGTACGCAACTATTATCATTGTTATCAATTGAGTGAACATTGACGTTTCAGTTTATCTACGTATTGATTTTAAAAAATCGAAGGTTTAATATTACTTTGTAATACAGCATTTTTAATATTATTTAAGTATTTCAAATACTAAACGGAGTAGAGTAAATTGGGATAATATACATCATAGAAAAATAAATAAATAAATAAAATTCTTTTATACTTAAATAATAATGAAATATAACTTTTCTTTACCTAACACGTCAAGCGGTGAAAACACAGATTATTACAGTAGAAATACATGTTCTATGGCACATGCTCAATTCCAAAAACAAATAGAGGACTCTGTTCAAATGAATTTTTATGGGTTATCTGAAGTATATTTATGTTATTATTTTATATTTTACATGTTTTATTATGATGATTTAGTTTTAGTTTTTAAAAATATTAAAATAAATTGTCGTAATGAATTAATCTAAAGAGGTTTTAATTACTTTATTATTTTATTTTAATTTTAAATAATATAACATTTACTAATAAAGATGATATGATCGGGTGATAGAATGTTTAAAATTGAATCTCATAAACTATAAAAGAATTAAATTTCTCTTACGAACACCAATAAAATTGGTTCATATTTAGAAAACAGTGAATAATATACAACTTAAAATAAAATAAATATACCAAATAAAACAAAAAAAAATCAAATGAAACGGTCACACGAATATAAATATAGACAATACATAAGAACTAAATGGAAAAAAGAGGAAATGTATTACAGAGAAACAGCGTGGCATGAATTGGGCCACAACTTCAATTTCATACAAAACTGGTGAACCATTCATTAAATCCTCGAATTAGCTTATGGATTTGTTTGCCTTTTAATTATCTCCCACGCTTTTAATTTATTCTTTTAATCCCCCATTAAATAATAAAAGCATGCATCATTAACCACTAATCCCCCTCTTCACATCTCTATCATGGGTGGTGCTGCCGCTGCTCCTCCATCTTCGTTTCCGACCAAACTCCTCTTAGCCGGCTGTTTCCTAGATTTCTTTTAAAATTTAATTTACAGCTACTAATTCCCTTTTTCCTTCAGGTTAGTCCTCGCCCTTGTTTTATACGTGGGATCTTAACTTATTATTACATGCATGCAATTCTACGTATTTTCTTTTCTATGCAGTGATTAGGAGATCAGTCGAGTTTTTCCGAATTGAATCGATGTCAGGTAGAATAAATATAATGTTCAACTCTTCCGAAAAAGAGGTAGCATCTTTTGTTTTAGTTTTATTTCTTGATTTTCTGTTTTGAAATGAATGTCAGTGATAAATGTTGTTAAATTTTGTTCTGATGGTGAAGCTGAGCGATAAGTCATCGGGAGCAGCAACAGATTCAAATTTTAAGAAAAGGAACAACAAACCTAGCAATGCGTCCCATCAAGTGAATGAAAACGTACCGTCGAACCACCACCAGCACGACCCCAAAACCAAGGTTCCGGCAAATATACCGAGGGTGCCAACAGATCCCGACATGAAACCAAATGATGCGAGGAACACCAATCTTTCGGGGAGTAGAAACAGTAGTCGCAGTGATAGCATGGAGAGCACCAGTACCGCGCCGCTTAGGCCGCACACCGGCGGCGACGTACGGTGGGACGCTATTAGTTCGGTGAGTGCCAAAGGCCCCATCGGTCTCAGCAACTTTCGGCTTCTCAAGCGCATTGGATATGGAGATATAGGGAGTGTGTACCTCGTCGAACTTAGAGGAACCAGTGCTTATTTCGCCATGAAGGTGATGGACAAGGCGTCTTTGGCCAGTAGAAACAAGCTATTGAGAGCTCAAACGGAACGAGAGATTCTTGGCCTTCTCGACCACCCTTTTTTGCCTACTCTCTATTCTTACTTTGAAACTGATAAATTTTATTGTCTGGTCATGGAATTCTGCAGTGGGGGCAATCTTCATTCCCTCCGCCAAAAACAGCCCAACAAGCATTTCACAGAGGAAGCTGCAAGGTTCATATTCTTTCTAATCCGATGCTCACATTTTGGGACGGACATAGAATTTTATGATAGGAGACACGGACTTATAAGATTTTAAGTTAGTTTTCTTTTTCTTTTTGTTAATATATAGAGGTTGATGATTGATTTTGGGTATTGCAGGTTCTTTGCATCAGAGGTGTTGCTGGCACTGGAATACTTGCACATGCTAGGAATTGTATATAGGGATTTGAAGCCAGAAAACGTGTTGGTAAGAGATGAAGGCCATATAATGCTCTCGGATTTCGACCTATCCCTCCGTTGCTCCGTCAATCCGACACTGGTGAAATCTTCATCGGGACATAATGCGAACAACGGCGGCGGAAACGGTGGCATCTTGGATAATGAGCAAGTGCCCGCGCATGGTTGCATGCAGCCATCCACATTCTTCCCCCGCATCTTGCCTAGCAAAAAGAACCGCAAATCCAAATCAGATTTCGGCCTCTTCGTGGGAGGATCCATGCCGGAGTTAATGGCCGAACCAACCAACGTCCGGTCGATGTCGTTCGTTGGTACACACGAATACTTAGCCCCGGAAATCATCCGAGGAGAGGGTCACGGCAGCGCAGTCGATTGGTGGACGTTCGGCATCTTCTTATACGAACTCTTGCATGGAACGACACCATTCAAAGGCCAAGGCAACCGAGCCACATTGTTCAACGTAGTAGGGCAACCACTGAGGTTCCCAGAAACACCACAAGTGAGCTTCGTGGCTCGAGACCTCATACGAGGCCTACTGGTCAAAGAACCGAGCAAACGTATAGCATGCAAAAGGGGAGCGACGGAGATAAAACAACACCCGTTCTTCGAAGGAGTGAACTGGGCACTGGTGAGGAGCGCAATGCCGCCGCACGTACCAGAGCCGGTGGATTTTTCGCAGTTGGCCACCAAGGAAGAGAAGAAGAACAGCCATGGCGGTCATCATCATCTTCATAACGAACATGTTGGAAATCAAGCAGTTCAAAAATCCAATTCATCTGACTACATACAATTTGAATACTTTTAACACTACATTGATCTCTTCCCATTAACTTCATTTCTACAAAAATTAATTCTAAATGTGATGGATCTCAATATAATGATTATAATTATAATTATAATTATATAATTATGATAATTAATTATTACCATATAGTTTATACATATGTATAGATTGTTGTATGCTTAGGATTGGAGATTTTGATTCAAGCTCACCTGTTATCATTTACTAGAAAATTTGTAAAATTTCTCACATTTTAAACATGCATTCTCTTATAATTCTTTTAAAAATTGGAAATACTTAGAAATTTTTCGCTTGTACATTTTATCTTTTTTAAATTTTATTATATCTCAAATTAAATAAGGTTTGATGAACGATGATAATACAATAAGGGGACATGTTGAAAAAGAGGCGTAATTTACTTTAAAAATTATTAAGGTCTCACATTATCAAACTAACAATATTTATAATTTTAAAAACCAATCATATATGTAACTAAAATATTATTTTTTAAAACCAATAATCAAGATGCACAATAATTAAATTAATGACCACTGTGATAATTTATCCTAGATAGATGTTTAAAGTAATTAAATGTAGGATAAACTACACCAAATATCAGTAAATTTTGTTCGTTGACTTGTTTATACTATTAAATTTTTAATTTTTTCACTTATAACACTAAATTTTAGTTTTTCATTCAATTATGTCACTCCGTCGTTAAGTTAATATCGAGACAATAACATGGCTAATGATTGCTGATGAAAGCTATTACACGAAAATGACATCGTTTTGGTGTGACAATTTTGATGCATAAAATGATGTTGTTTTAGACATTGAACTTTAGAGGTGTATCGATTTTGTCACTAAATTTTTTTAAAATATTTTTTTTCGTATTGCACTTTCCGACCACTATCGACAACCAATAATTGTTCATCTTTTACGACAAAATTAGTATCAAAATGTTCACATTTCACCCCTCTTTGTTCTCCTAGGATTAACTTTTTTAGATTTATAAGATTTGGAGGGTTTATTCCAATATTCCAACGATGAGAAGTATTATTCCGAGAAGATGAACAAAATATCTCAAAACTAATCTTATCAAACAGTTATTGAAAGAGATCGTAGTATTAATACATCAAACTTTTAAGTATATTTTTGTCAATTTTTAGTGGGTTTCATGGAAAAATCAATCATATGAGAAAAAAAAGGAGTGAAATGCGAACGTTTTAGGACCGATCTTGCCATGAAAGATTACCGATGACAGACTGTGATTGGCAGTCGGTGGCTGTCAGAAAGTGTAGTGCCAAAAAAGAAAACTCTTTAAAAGTTCAGTGGCGAAATAGGCACTGTAACATCCCAAACACCGGGTTAGTGATCAAATTGCAAGATTTTAAAATTTCATGATCAAATTAGATAAATTGAAAAGTTTAGGGACTTAATTGGAAATTTTCCTTGTGTAGGATTGATAAATAAAGATTGAAAGATGAAAGCGTATAA